CTGTTTCTAAATGTAATGAAACTAGGTTGGATAATTACGAAAATAAACTGCCATTTTGACAGAATTATAGGAAGAGAGAGTATCTTTATTGAATGGAAAATCCTTCTGATTTATAAAAATGAAAAAATAGAAAAAGTGATAAAATAATTTTCAAAGATTCTGACATCCCATTTTATTTTGCTCAGTAAAGTCTTCATCCTACTGTAGGGATCACACAGCCTTCACTGTTAAGAAGTACAATGCTTTACCAGTTTGATCGCCACTGCTAGGCAAAGAATCCCTTCATAATATAAGGATAAAAACTCAAAATATTCTTCTACAGTTTCATGAATAGATAACAAAAAGCACTTTGTCTTCATGTTGTTATTTTGCCCTCAGCAAAAAGCAAGATGCCAAGTACTCCCCTCTCATTTTAGACTCAAAGACATTCTTAACCACGTGGCTGTAAACTAGTTGAGTTTTAACTAGCTGTGGGTTGTGGATGCTTTTTCAGATAAATCACACACGATCCAGCTGGAGATTAACTGTAAACCTCCTGGAGTCAGATATCTGGACAATAAAAGACTAAATGCAGAGTTAAGAGAATTTTAAAAAATAATTTAGATTTTTGTTTCAAGATAATTCTTATAAAGATTTCCAAGTTTTTAACATGCTGTTATCATTAAAACAACAGGTGAATGTTAGTGAGGGAGCAAGAGAGGTTGAAAAATATTTCAAAGCTTTACTTAGCTAACAACAATAAGCCAAACTGCTACTTTTGAAAAGGAGATAGGAGGCTGGGTACAGTAACTCATGCCTATAATCCCAGCACTTTGGGAGGCTGAGACGGGTGGATCACCTGAGGTCAGGAGTTGGAGACCAGCCTGGCCAACATGGTAAAACCCCGCCTCTACTAAAAATACAAATATTAGCTGGTTGTGGTGGCAGATGCCTGTAATCCCAGCTACTAGGAAGGCTGAGGCAGGAGAATCGCTTGAACCCAGGAAGCAGAGATTGCAGTGAGATCGTACCACTGCACTCCAGCCTGGGTGACCAAAGGAGACGTCATCTCAAAAAAAAAAAAAAAAAAAAAAAAAAAAGAAGAAAGAAAGAAAGAAAAGGAGATAGCAAAGTGGCTATGAATAAAATGTATCTTTTCTTCAACCTAGCTCATCTTTCACTTAAGAATCACTACTTACTGGGCCGGGTGAGATGGCTTGCACCTGTAATCCCAGCACTTTGGGAGGCCAAGGCAGGTGGATCACAAGGTCAGGAGATGGAGACCATCCTGGCCAACATGGTGAAACCCCCGTCTCTACTAAAAAACAAAAAAATTAGCTGGACATGGTGGCACACACCTGTAGTCCCAGCCACTCGGGATGCTGAGGCAGGAGAATTGCTTGAACCCAGGAGGCAGAGATTGCTGTGAGCCAAGATCATGCCACTTACTACAGCCTGGGTGACAGTGCAAGACTGCTTCAAAAAAAGAAGAATCACTCACTACTGATCTATTTGCATAGTAGCATGTATTTTCATTCTTTTGTGAGAATTACTGGAATATATGGACTGATGTTTCTGACTAGATAACACTTAATTTTGTACAGTTAAGCTTTTATTATATTGACAGTAAAACCTCAACAAAATTACAGACAGCAACTTCATCCTTATTATAGTCTAATCATCTCATTAAACCAATTATACCAGGTTAAAGATGTCTAATAGAAATGTTAATCTTGGTAAATTTTGGCACACAGGGTCTTTAGGGACTTCTTTTTCTGCATTACTATCAAATAGACAAATGGTAAAAGATATGACAGAGTTCTTCAAGTTCTTTTATATATGTAAAATTGTATATCTTACTCTTCAGATATATACTACAATATTTTCTGGGTACAAACTTTTAAAACACACTGTAGAACATAAATGCTAGGTTTTAATATTCCTTAGTTCTTTACTTTGTATTTTCTCACCCTGGTTATCAGGAAAACAGAAAATGAGCTTTCTGTTTATAAGACTTCAGACACTGTGGTGACAGCATGCTCCAACCCAACACAGCAACCCTGCACTTACTCCACGCTGGTGCCGGCACAAGCTCCACTGCACAAGCCAACGTGGCCCAGGAAGCTGCTGTGTGCCAGTAGTTTGTAAAAATACAGCACAACATCACTCACAATGAGACAAAGCTCCTAGTGTCTTAAACTTCGATGGACCATACAACATGACAAACCTCCAAAGGAATCATTAATCATTACTAAAGAAAAAGAAATGTCAGAAACCCTGTCCAAAGCTGGGCACAGGACATGGAGTTGCCACTGTTACATTTAAGTTTTATTTTTGGCTTTCTGATACCTAAAGTATATTCCGAAGGTATGTTATCTTATTTTTTTACAAAAGCCTGCTTTGTTTTTAAATGTCATAAAATGTTTAGAAATATAATTTCTCCTATGTAATGAAACTAACAGACTACATTTTATAGGTATAGTAAAGGAGAATTAAAGTTATAAATGTAAACATCAAAATAACAGCATACAACAGATGCTGAAGAAAAGTCAGAAGTATGGCCGGGTGCAGTGACCTCACACCTGTAATCCCAGCACTTTGGGAGGCAGAGGAGGGTGGATCACGAATCAGGAGTTGGAGACCAGCCTGGCCAACATGGTGAAAGCCCATCTGTATTAACTCACAAAAATTAGCTGGGCATGGTGGCAGGTGCCTGTAATCCCAGCTACTTGGGAGGCTGAGGCAGGAGAATTGCTTGAACCTGGGAGGTGGAGGCTGCAGTGAGCCAAGATCACACCATGGCACTGTAGCCTGGGCAACAAGCAAGATTCCGTCTTGGGGAAAAAAGAGAAATCAGAAGTAAAAGCTTGGCACCTTTCCAATCCAGTTAGAGAAAAGTATCTGGGTAGCTGGATGGGTAGGAGACTAGGACTGGGGGCATAAACAGAAAATGAAAACGAAAACCTCTCATCTCGCAGAACAAAATCCATTCAGTGAGTAGTTCACATACTTTTTTTTTTTTTTGAGACAGAGTTTCGCTCTTGTCACCCATCTGGGGTACAATGGCGCAATCTCAGGTCACTGCGACCGGGGTTCAAGCAATTCTCCTGCCGCAGCCTCTTGAGTAACTGGGACTACAGGCATGCGCCACCATGAGTAACTGGCTAATTTTTTGTATTTTCAGTTGAGGCCGGGTTTCACCATGTTGGCCAGGCTGATCTCCAACTACTTACCTCAGATGATGTGCCTGCCTCCACCTCCCAAAGTGCTGGGACTACAGGCATAAGACAATGCGCCCGGCTCTTGTTTTCATTGATCATATTCTGCAGGTACAATTTTCCCAAAATTTTAACTTACCAAGGTTAGTACTCACATCCCAATTTGCCTTATTTATTTATTTCCCCAAATTTTAACTTGCCAAGGTTAGGGCTCACATCCCAGTTTGCTTTATTGATTGACTGATTAATTGATTGAGCCCAGGCTGGAGTGCAGTGATGCAATTGAGGCTCACTGCAGTCTCTGCCTCCTGGGTTCCAGTGATTCTCCTGCCTCAGCCTCCCAAGCTGGGATTACAGGTATGTGCCACCACAGCCAGCTAATTTGTGTAATTTAGTAGAGATGGAGTTTCACCATGTTGGCCAGAATGGTCTCAAACTCCTGACCTCAAGTGATCCACCCCCACCTAAGCCTCCCAAATGGGATTACAGGTGTGAGCCACCAGGCCTGGCCCCAATTTGCTTTAAAAACCAGTTGGATCCTCAAGCTATTTGTGAAATATGGGTAGGGGTTAAGAACTATCTGAAATAGTTTTTAATCTTTTACTTTCGAAACTTTCTACATTGATCAGGTCTGCATAGTCTCCTGAAGCCTTACACCAATTCTACTCATGGCTGTCTCCATTTATCCCTGACTCTTACTGCTTTGTGGTCTCATCAGGCAGAAGCATTCAGGCTGCGCTCAGACTTCTGTACTTAATGTAAAAAATCAGCACAATGTATGGAATGTATGGGTTCATTTCTGTGTATATTCTAATATGTTTCTTCAACCATGGCTTCTGAGGACAAACAAAAATACTACTGATTTTTAGGTCAACTTTCTTATTAAAAAGTAAGGATTTAAAAATCAAACACTTGAATATAGTTTCTGAAAATTCTTCATTACATTTAGCTTGATTTAAGGTTACTTATTTGTATTTAACATAAATAACTAAATGAAACCTGAACTTCCAAATAGCAAGTACACGAGAAAACATCCTCCTATATTAGGTGACCTATCTAAAAATAAAAAATACCATGACCTTACTTCAGAATTTTTTTGCTTTCAAAAAATGGACTATGTTGCAAGAAAAAGACTGGAGGACAACTTAAATATAATCTGGGACCAGATACATAAGTCAATATGAAAAGTTAGAAGGCATTTCATTTTTAAATGAATGCTATTTCGCACTTATATAGAAGCTTATATATACAAAGTGCTTTACAATGATTACTCATTGACAGCCTATTCATCAATGTAAATAAATGTGGTTTACAATCTGTTAACAAATGTAAGCGCTTTGAGGCAACCAAATACCCAAGAGAATCTATTTAGTAACAAATTCCTGGACTAGCAGATAGATGTGAGAAAAAAATGTAAAGAGATCTGACATGATATAACATATAAGAAGTAACTAATGTTAATGACTGATATTAAGATGTCAAGTGTTAGGAATTATTAAAAAATGGAAGGGTTTCTATTAAGGAATAAGTAAAACAAATGAGGCATAAGTCAACAAATAGTCCAAAGGTAAGGCTACCAATAACTTGTACATATATGAAAGATTAACTCTTTTAGATGTGGAGAGAAACTGAAGGTATAACATAAATGTCAGCCACATTGCTAGAATCTGATCCCCAGTCACTAAGATATTCCAAAACAACAACAAAAAATTAATGTAGTGCCTGATATTTTTTCTTTTGTAATTTATCCCAAGATACCTTACCAATACATTCACTTCTGCCAGCAAACCAGATAGCAGGAAATAATGAAATTTTATGTATTTATGTTTAAAAAATAGTCTCCAAATCTTTGGGCAAATTTAATTTCCTATTAAGCAATGTGAAAACTCATTTTTTCCTCAAATTCTACCAAGTGCCTTAGGGAAGATATGCTTAGCACCTCTGCCAATGTATTTATGTCTTTGCAAAAAGAACACTTGTCAACCATTTTTAGAGTAAATATGCAAGTTATTTGAACTGTACTTGGAAAACAACTGAAAACACAGATTAATACATCATAAAAAGATTAATTCCCTTTAAACAAAGACATTCTTATAAAGCATGGTAACACACGGGCACAATAAAGAATATAAATTGTATATAATTATTGGCAGAAAATCTAATTCATTACAAAGCCTACACCTTTGAGGAAGGAAGAGGACATTTTCATACAAAGAAAAGTATTACACTATTATACAACATTTTTAATTGGACATGTACAAATTTTTGGCACATTAAGAAGAACTGAAAGGACAACAAAATAAGAACCAAAGAAACTAAAACAAAGATACAGGAGAGACAAAAAGTTCTCAGAAGGAGAAACACTAAGTATTGACACAGAAGAGAAACAAAAAATAAGCTGGCTGAGCTTCCTGAAATGTTGTGTGTAACAGAAGTATGCTGTGGGTGCAGGTGTCTGTACTGTGTTTGAGCAGCAGTGCTTTTCTACCTTGCTGCAGCCGGCTGCACATGGCCTGGGTATGATCTTCTGCTGCTGGTCGCTTGCCTCTGCCTTGCCAGAAACGACTGCCCTGAGCCTGTGCTTGCCAGTCTATCTTCAGCTGCCTTTTTATGCAGAGTCATTCCCTGCAACATTAAAAAAAAAAAAAGGAATTAATAAAAAAAAGTGGAATCTACTTTCACAAAAGAAAATTTTCATCATGCAGAATTTGTTACATTGCATCATACAGCACAATTAGGAATATTAACTCTACTCACTATAGATTAAAATCTCATAGAGGCATTTTAGTTCCCACAATTAGGTACAAATTTTCTTTGGAAAAATTGAGGCTTAAATGTCTGATTTTACAACAAACAAAACAGCAGATAATAGAGACAGACATTACCCATACTCAATCATACTTCCTTTCAAATTAAATGTAGAAAGTGATTTTCCAAGGAAGAGAGCACGATTGGTAGCAGTAGATTCACTCCAAGAGTAGAAATCACAGGTTTTATTTAGAATGAGAAACACAAAAGCTTGCGTGTCGTTTCTTAAGGTAGAAACCACACTAGGTAATGTACATACCACCATGCTGTTTTTCTTCACTTCAAGCCAGACCTGAATTCTCAAACAAATTAAGAAAACTTCCTGACAGTCCACAACAGAGGGCCCAACCAAGAGGAGGGGGTCTTTCTTGAAGACAGGAGAAGGATCGCCAAATAGTTTAGAAGGGAGAGAAGGCAACTGCTGGACTCAGAGCACCTTAACAGGAGGGAGGAAACCTCCAGGGCACTCCCTGACTGCGGAGGAATGACAAGAATATGATAATGACACTATTTACAAAAGGCAGAAGTCTCTGAGTAGATCAGGAAAACAGCCATTTTTTGGTACTCATTTAACAAGACAATGAAGAATCCTAGCCAGAGAAACATTAAGAACTGAGAGATGGCCAGGTTGTAACACTCTGGGAGGCTACAGTGGGAAGATCACTTGAGGCTAGAAGCTCAAGACCAGCCTCAGCAAAATAGCGAGACCCCCTCTCTCTAAAACAGGCATCCCCAAACTTTTTACACAGGGGGCCAGTTCACTGTCCCTCAGACCGTTGGAGGGCCGCCACATACTGTGCTCCTCTCACTGACCACCAGTGAAAGAGGTGCCCCTTCCTGAAGTGCGGCTAGGGGCCCGATAAATGGCCTAAGGGGGACGCATGCAGCCCGCAGTCCGTAGTTTGGGGACACCTGCTCTAAAATAATAAAAAATTTAGCTACGCATGATAGCATGCCCACAGTCCCAGCTACTTTGGAAGACTGAGGTGAGAGGATCACTTGAGCTCAGGAAGTTGAGGCTGCAGTGAGCTGATTATACCACTGTACTGCAGCATGGGAACACTGCAAGACCTTGCCTCAAAAACAGTAACAACAACAAAAACAAAAGAACTGAGAGCCGTTGTTTAATCTCAACAATGACTGAATGCAAGTAAATTGCTGGGCATAACTGAAAGCAGGCAGCAAGGAAGAAAAAACTAATCAAGAGGCAAAAAGAGAGCCAGGTGGAAAAGCCAAACTACAGGATGCAATGTACTATGTGCAGAAGACAGAAAACTGGAAGATACATCACTAGCTAGTTTCTAGGGAAAACATAGGTTCTGATGTTGTATTTTTTCTTTTCCTCATTTTTTTTAGATAGAGTCTTGCCACTAGCTGCCCAGGCTGGTCTTGAACTCCTGGGCTCAAGAGATCCTTCCACCTTGACCTCCGAAAGTGCTGGCATTGCAAGTGTGAGCCACTGTGCCCAGTCTCAGCTTTGCATTTTTAATACAATTTCAGTCTATCCTATCAACCCAAAAACACAATATTTTCCAAATGACAAAAATCTAAAACACATTTTTAAGCTCAACTTGAAATCAGAGCATTTAAAATTTTGAATAAATTTGACAAATATTTATTGGTAATCTTAAACTTATAAATTTGGCAAATATATATTAAAATTTATATTTTATTTAAATATTCTAATTTTTGCACTTTCACATTTCAAACAGTTTATTAAATTCTTCACACAGGTTAAAGACCTCAGTATAGGGTATTCTCTGAGCTACTTAATACTTCTTCCCACCACTCATCATTTCCATTTTCATTTAAGTTATGAGACGCAGAACTTTCTGAATGTAAGCATGATGGTTTACTTATCTGAACATAACTTCGGGGAGTCTATTTGGCATTATTCCTTCACTCTCTGAAGAGTTAAAAATTAGAACTTTTTTTTAAAATTTTTTGAGACGGAGTCTCACTCTGTCTCCAGGCTGGAGTTCAGTGGTGAGACCTCAGCTCACTGCAACCTCCACCTCCTGGGTTCAAGTGATTCTCCTGCCTCAGCCTCCCCAGTAGTTGGGACTACAGGCGCATGCTACCCACCCAGATAATTTTTGTATCTTTAGTAGAGATGGAGTTTCAACATGTTGGCCAGGATGGTCTCAATCTCTTGACCTCGTGATCTGCCCGCCTCAGCCTCCCAAAGTGCTGAGATTACAGGCGAGAGCCACCAAGCCCAGCCAGGACTATTCTTTAGAACCACTTCACAGAATAAATCAATCTGGTTCCGTAAGAAACACAGTATGTGAAGTCATAAAAATCAATCAAGAATATGAATTATTGGGCAGGGCGCAGTGGCTCACACCTGTAATCCCAGCACTTTGGGAGGCCAAGGTGGGTGGATCATGAGGTCAGGAGTTCAAGATCAGCCTGGCCAATGTGGTGAAACTCTGTCTCTACTAAAGATACAAAAATCAGCCAGATATGGTGGTACATGCCTGTAATCCCAGCTACTTGGGAGGCTGAGGCCGAGAATTGCTTGAACCCAGGAAGCAGAGGTTGCAGTGAACCAAGATTGCACCACTGTACTCAAGGCTGGGCGACAGAGTGAGACTTCATCTCAAAAAAAAAAAAAAAAAGAAAAAAGAAAAAAGAAATTATTATAAGGCCTGAAATGCAGAGGTCCAGGATTGCTAACACTAAGCTTCTGGGAGGACAGGGAAGAGACAGAATATTTTAAAAGACAGGAGTAATTCCCAGAGAATTTCCTTAAATATATAGTTTTATTTTTTTCTATTTTTTGAATTTTAATTTTCAAGAAATCCGTATTTGTTTGTTTTCTGAGATGGAGTCTCGCTCTGTTGTCAAGGCTGGAGTGCAGTGATACGTTCTCAGCTCACTGCAACCTCTGCCTCCCAGGTTCAGGTGATTCTCCTGCCTCAGCCTCCAGAGTAGCTGGTATTACAGACACCTGCTACCACACCTGGCTAATTTTTGTATTTACAGGCATGAGCCACCACACCAGTGTCTATTTATCAAAAATAGTATTCTAACTCTTGATACAATTTCCTCTTTGGTTTTTAAATTGCAGTAAAATCTTAGATACGTAATTTTTTTTTTCTTTGAACAGAGTCTCACTCTATCACCCAAGCTGAAGTAGAAAAGTGCAATCCTTGCTCACTGCAACCTCTGCCTCCCGGGTTCAAGCAATTCTAGTGCCTCAGCCTCCTGAGTAGCTGGGACTACAGATGTGTGCCACCATGACTGACTAATTTCTGTATTTTTACAGAGGGGAAAGACCTCCGTCTATTTTGACACAGGTTAAAGACCTCAGTCTATTGCAAGGGCATTCTCTGAGCTATTTATTATCTCTTCTCAGCACTCATCATTTCCCTCAACCATCACTTCCATCAACCTCTCCTTCCTGAGTTCAAGTGATTCTCCTGCCTCGTCCTCCCAAGTAGCTGTATTTTTAGTAGAGATAGGGTTTTACTATGTTGGCCAGACTGGTCTTAAACTCCTGACCTCAGGTAATCTGCCTGCCTCGACCTCCCAAAGTGCTGAGATTATAGGCATTAACCACTGCACCCGGCCATAGATATTGCCATTTTGACCAAGGCAAACATAGATGTGAAAATAATATATAATGAAATTTATGAATTTTTGATGGAGATTAAATCACAATGTTCAGAGGCCAGACATTAACCTTTAAGAGGCAATATCAATTATAACTGTAAAATAAAAACAATGGTACTGTGCCATAACAGAGCTACAGGGTCACAGGGAGATGTTAAAAGGAATCTGGGGCCAAGTACGGTGGCTCACACCTGTAATCCCAACACTTTAGGAGGCTGACGCAGGCAGATCACAAGGTCAGGAGTTCGAGACCAGCCTGACAAATATGGTGAACCCGTCTCTACTAAAAATACAAAAATCAGCAGGCATGATGGCAGGTGACTGTACTCCCAGCTACTCGGGAGGCTGAGGCAGCGAATCACTTGAACCCAGGAGCCAGAGGTTGTAGTCAGCTGAGATCGTGCCAGTGCACTCCAGCCTGGGTGACAAGGCAAGATTCCGTCTCAAAAAATATAAAAATAAAAATATAAAAGGAATCTGGTCCCATTTCTTCATTTCTTGTCTCAGATAACTTTTTATTTTTCTTTTTTGGGAGAGAGAGTCTTGCTCTGTCACTCGGGCTGGAGTACAACGGTGCAATCTCGGCTCACTACAACCTCCCCTTCCCAAGTTCAAGCGATTCTCCTGACTCAGCCTCCCGAGTACCTGGGATTACAGGCATGTGCCACCATGCCCAGTTAATTTTTGTGAGTTAATAGAGATGGGCTTTCACCATGTTGGCCAGGCCGGTCTCTCCTCCTGACCTCAGGATCCACCTGCCTCGCCTCCCAAAGTGCTGGGATTACAGGTGTGAGCCACCACACTCGGCTAACTAACATTTTTAAAAAGGCAGAAGTGGTCTTAAAAACCAAAAGGAAGACAAAGTCTTGGGAAAATACTGAAAGAAGTGCAGCACTCTTTAAAATCCCTAACTATTCACATCCCAACCAGGATGCTAATGAGCATCAGTTTTTGTGTTGGGATATTCCATTTCAAAACCTCCAGTGGTTCCGGGTCTGATAATGTGAACATTTTCCAAACCCCATGAGATAAACTACCCTCAATCAAAGTACCATTTTGCAAGACACTGAAATAATCTCACAAAACAAAAACTATTGCATTTGTTTAGATGGTATTAGTGTCCCTTCCCTTACAATAAAGTCTCTGAGGGCCAGAAATTAGACTGACATTTATCTTTCTATCCTCTAGAAATAATGATGTTTTCAAAATGCTCTAACCCTGTTTATGGTGGTTCTCATATCAGCTTTTCAGTTCAGAAATAGCATTAAGATTCTGTTAGTGTATGTAAAGATAGTAATTATTTTCATATTCATTTGGTAGAATGACTTCTACAGTAAAGGGAATGTTAAGTAATATATATTCATTGAACTTTTCATTATTCTCCGAAATACTATGTTCTTACCATATTGTACCAGGCACTAACAATATATTTTTCTTCCATCTCTCTTTGACTCTTTGTTTTCTCATATTCTTTCTAAAAAAACAAAAGTACATATAAATATGTAAAGATATAAAATAACTCAATATAAATAAAATACTATAAATTAATTGTTAAAACCCATGGACACAACTGTAAAATATAACAAGGCTCCCAGGACGTTAACATCAAAATGAAATTATTTTATTATACAGTATAGTAGACTACCTCTAATGAGTGAAACAGTCGGTCTCGTTCCTGGAGCTGATTTTTAAGAGCTTGTATTTCTGGTGCTGCTCCTTGATTCTGTTTAGGATCTAAAGTACGAATAACCTGCAAAAAATAATAGAAAATTTTTTAAAGTCTCAAACTTAAAGAATGTAACATTTGATAAAAAAAAAAATTAGTATTTTTTTAAATGAAAGAATAAACTTATGAAAAATCAAAGGTTATCTTACAAGGGTATTTTAAAAAGTAAATGTGGCCTGGAATGGTGGCTCATGCCTGTAATCCCAGCACTTTGGGAGGCTGAGGCAGGTGGCTCACTTGAGCTCAGGAGTTTAAGACCAGCCTTCACAACACAGTGAGATCATCTCTACAAAAAATACTTAAAAATTAGCTAGGTGTGGTGGTGCACCCATAGAGCCCCAGCTACTTAGGAGGCTGAGGCTGGAGGATTCCTTGAGCCTGGGAGGTCGAGGCTGCAGTGAGCTGAGATTACATCGCTGTGCTCCAGCCTGGGCAACAGAGCAAGACTCTGTCTAAAAAAATTTAAAAAGCAAATGTATGAAATAATATTAACTGTAACTTTAAATAAAATTTTCTGGGGTATATAATATTTGTACAAATATAAAACTTTTTACCTATATAAATTCCAATTATAAAAAGTAATTCTGGCTTAAAATTAATAAACGCAGTTATGTACCATGTAACAATGTTTCAGTCAACAATGAACCACATATATGATGACCACCATCATACTGTAAAGGAGCTGAAGAATTCCTATCACACAAATACCGTTGTGTAACTATTTCCTTACACTGTTTAGTACAGTAATGTGCTGCACAGGTTTTCAGCTAGGAACAATACTCCGTATCATATAGTCTAGTTTTGTACTAAGCTATATAGCATCCAGGTGTGCCTAAGTATACTCTGCAATGTTTGCACAATGACAAAATTGCCTAAGAATGCATTTCTCAGAACGTGTCCCTGTTGTTAAATGACTTGTGTCTGTACAGCAGACACTGACAGTAGTCTACTCTTTTCCGTTCCCTCTAATCTAGTCTGCTAGCCTTCTGCCTCTAATCAGATATGTACTTTGGGGAGAGGGTCCTGACTAGTATAAGCCTGTCGCTGTGCCCATCTCTTCCTCTGCTGGCAATCCAGCTTGGCATGGACATTGGATGTGATTATTCTGGCTGGCCAACGAGAGGACTGCTGGGAAAGGTATTTTTACTTCTTCACTCAATATTTTTATTTAGTTTTATTTTAAAAGATAGAGCCTTGCTCTGTTATCCTGGCTGGAGTACAGTAGTGTGATCACAGGCCACTGCAGCCTTGAACCACTGGGCTCAAGTGACTTTCCTGCCCCAGGTTCTTGAACAGCTAGGGTTATAGCTGCTTGCCACCATGACCAGCTAATTTTTTTTTTTCTTTTTAAGATAGAGATTTGCTCTTGTTTCCTAGGCAGGAATGCAATGGCACAATCTCAGCTCACCACAACCTCTGCCTCCTGGGTTCAAGTGATTCTCCTGAGATTACAGGCATGTGCCACCACACCCGACTAATTTTGTATTTTTAGTAGAGACATGGTTTCTCCATGTTGGTCAGGCTGGTCTTGACCTCCTGACCTTGGATGATCAGCCCACCTCGGCTTCCCAAAGTGCTGGGATTACAGGCGTGAGCCACCGTGCCTGGCCATGACCGCCTAATTTTTAAAAACATTTTCTTTGTAGAGATGGAGTCTGGGTATATTGCCCAGACTGACTTCAAACTTGAAAGGGTAGAATAAAAACCCATTTACCTTTAACCTAGAGCAGGCGTCCCCAAACTGCGGCCCCCTGAGGCCATTTATCTGGCCCCCTGCCGCATTTCAGGAAGAGGCACTTCTTTCATTGGTGGTCAGTGAGAGGAGCACGGTATGTGGTGGCCCTCCAATGGTCTGAGGGACAGTGAACTGGCTCCCTGTGTAAAAAGTTTGGGGACGCCTGACCTAGAGTCACCAATTGCTTAATTGCCATATTTGATTTCTCTACACACACACACACACAGTTACTTATTTGGGAGACTATTTTTTAAAGTCTCCCAAATAAATTATTCAGATCTCCTAACATATAACCTTTAAATACTTAAGCACGAATCTCCTTAGATTAAGGATATTAACCTATATAATCACAAACCATCATCATCTGTAAGAAAACTGACCCCCTAACCCTCCATCTAGGACTCAGAGGTGAATACATTGATTTGGCAATTAGCAGAGGGTAGGGGTCCTCTTTTCAATGGGTCCCTGTGCTCTCCCACACTCCACAGTCTGTTGGTCTGTTCTTGTTTTCTGACAGTGACTTCTATTCTAAATTCGGGAATTACCTGATGGTTTTTTGAACATGTTATTTAGTTTGTTCCAATAAACCTCATTTTGCCTGTGAACTGGAACTAGAAGGTTACTTAAATTCAGGTTAACTATTATTTACAGTGATACTCCATCAGGAGGCACAGTATATCAGTTGTCCCATCATTAGTTAGTGCTGTTAATTTTGTTGACTAGTAAGGCGGCAAGTGCCACTCATTTCCCACACAAAGTACATTTTCCTCTTGGTAATTAGTAAGTAACTCATGGAATGACCTATTTTGACCACTGCTTCTTGCTCAGGTTCTTTTTATTTGTTAAAAGATTTGTTCTTCTGAGAGTTTTCTGCATAAGAAGTTGTGGTAGTGTCAATCCATTAGATTTGAGACTTCACTGAAATGTGATCAGAAGGTAATAAAGTGAGATGCCTCCAAAATTCATACTTACACTTTTGGCTTTCTCTAAGTATTTTTTATATCGTTCTTCCATTTGCTTCATTTCCTCTTCTTTCTTTCGTAAAGCTTCTTGTAATTCTTCAATTTTTAAGGCTGCAGATGAGACACAGTACTATATATATATATAAACATATATTTAGATTATAACAAATATATATGAATTGTCATAATTTTTATTTTTATTTTATTTTTTATTTTATTTTTTTTTTGAGACAGAGTTTCGCTCTTGTTACCCAGGCTGGAGTGCAATGGCGCGATCTCGGCTCACCACAACCTCCGCCTCCTGGGTTCAGGCAATTCTCCTGTCTCAGCCTCCTGAGTAGCTGGGATTACAGGCACGCGCCACCACGCGCAGCTAGTTTTTTGTATTTTTAGTAGAGACGGGGTTTCACCATGTTGACCGGGATGGTCTCGATCTCTTGACCTCGTGATCCACCCGCCTCAGCCTCCCAAAGTGCTGGGATTACAGGCTTGAGCCACCGCGCCCAGCCTTATTTTTATTTTTATTTATTTATTTTTTTGAGACGGAGTTTCGCTCTTGTTACCCAGGCTGGAGTGCAATGGCGCGATCTCGGCTCACCGCAACCTCCGCCTCCTGGGTTCAGGCAATTCTCCTGCCTCAGCCTCCTGAGTAGCTGGGATTACAGGCACGCGCCACCACGCCCTGCTAATTTTTTGTATTTTTAGTAGAGATGGGGTTTCACCATGTTGACCAGGATGGTCTCGATCTCTTAACCTTGTGATCCACCCGACAGGCTTGAGCCACCGCGCCCGGCCCAGTATTTATTTTAGATTATAACAATTTAAAAAACATTTTAATTGACTAACAACAAATAAGCTGGTCTATTTTTATACATAATTTTCTTCTAAAAAAATTTAGATTTTTAATATTTTTTACAAAAAGCTTTTCTTATAAATAAAAACTCCAATATGGATAAACAAAATGTGATACATATATACATTATAATATTATTCACCCTTACTTATGATACATGCTGTGACATGGAGACACTATGTTAAGTGAAATAAACCAGATACAAAAGGACAAATATTATATAATTCTACTCACATGAGTGACCTAGAATAGTCAAATTCACAGAGACAGAAAATGGAATAGCAGTTATTAGAGGGTGGGAAGAGGGAGGAAGGGAGAGTTATTGTTTAATGGATAAGAACTTCTGTTTAAGAAGATAAAGTTTTGTAGATGGTTAACAGTGACAGTTGCACAACAATGTCAGTGTCCTTAATGTCGCTGGACTATACAGGAAAAATGGCTTAAAATGCTGTGTTTTGGCCGGGCGTGGTGGCTCATGCCTGTAATCTCAGCACTTCGGGAGGCCAAGGTGGGTGGATCATCTGAGGTCAGGAGTTCAAGACCAGCCTGGCCAACATGGTGAAACCCTGTCTCTACAACAAATAAAAAAAAAATTAGCTGGGCAGGGTGGCTCATGCCTGTAGTCCCAGCTACTAGGGGGAGTTAGGTGGGAGGATGCCTTGAGCATAGGAGCTCAGGTTGCAGTGAGCTGTGATCATGCCATTTACTCCAGTCTGGGCAACACATCCAGACGCTGCCTCAAAAATAAATAAATAAAATTATGTAAACTCACTATCACTATGGCAGTATACAGCAAGCCCATTTAAAAACTATCCTAATTAAGAAAACTCACAGCTGTTGTTAAATCTTGGCTCGAGATCTTCAATAATGGCTCTCTTCTTCTGTAGTTCATTATTGGCTTCATGCAGCTTCTCTCTGTAACAAACAGGTAAATGTCACCTACTACTATTTCTCCCATTTTTTCCACTTCGAAGATCTAGGTTCTTTATACTTGGATTACACTTGCATTGCATACAAGTGATATGAAACAAATATGAAAAGACAAAACATGAATTTAATATATTTAAAAAATAAGTAAAAAGTAAAGACAAAAAAATTCCTTTTTGTTTGAAAAAGTAGTTATTTGTTTTACACAGACGTGCATAAAGATAGGATAAAGATTTTTTTCTAGGAATAATACTACTTAAATAACTTTGTAAAGGTTTTACCAGGCAAAATCTTGTTGCAAAAAAATGAAGTTCTAAAAATAAGAATTAACAAATAGAACACTACATATCAATAAAAATAAATAAATAAATGACACATGCAACCACATGAATAGATGTCATAGAAAGTTGAGCAAAGGAAGTCAAAGGGGTAACCATGTATGATTCCGTAATGAATGGAAGATGATACAGATCAGCAGTGTGGCTAGTTTTGGGGTCAATCTACTGGGAGGAAGAATATAGAATCCTGATCGGTTGCTAGATATATTACCTATGTTGATCTGGGTCAACTATATATGTACGTTTGGGAGGCCTTGGCAGGTGGATCACTTGAGGTCAGGAGTTTGAGACCAGATTGGCCACCATGGCAAAACACAATCTCTGCTAAAAATACAAAAATTAGGCAGGTGTGGTGACAGGTGCCTGTAACCCAGCTACATGGGAGGGAGAACTGTTTGAACCTGGGAGGCGGAGGTTACAGTGAGCCAAGATCGCGCCACTGCACTCCAGCCTGGGTGACAGAGTGAGACTCTCTCAAAAACAAAAACAAAAACAAAAACAAAAAAACCTAGGAACTTAGGACATGTCTTTTATGTGTCATATTCCGATATAAATGCATTTAAATAATTAATCGAAAGTGAGATATTTTTCCCCTGGCATTTGTACAGTATGCATAATTCTCCCTTTATCGTAGTTAATACGGTACTATGTGACATAAATAGGGAAGAGAGCTTGCAAAAATGGGAAGATACAGAAAATCACTAATTAAAAAAATAGAGCACTTTGTTATGTCTATTTCTGATCTTTTCTATGCACAAAGCTTAAATAAACCTTCTCTTTCTCAATATTTTTTGAGGATGTGACATTGTGTGCATATATGACCTATGACAAAGAACATATACAATATAACAGTTTAAATAATAATAAGGCTGGGTGAGGTGGCTCACGCCTGTAATCCAAACACTCTGGTAGGCCGAGGTGGGTGCATCATGAGGTCAGGAGATTGAGACCATTCCGGCTAACACAGTGAAATCCTGTCTCCACTAAAAATACAAAAAATTAGCCGGGCATGGTGGCACGTGCCTGTAGCCCAGCTACTCGGGAGGCTGAGGCCTGAGAATCGCTTGAACCCAGGAGGCAGAGGTTGTAGTGAGCCAAGATCACGCCATTGCACTCTAGCCTGGCAACAGAGTGAGACTACGGCTCAAAAAACAAAAGATAATAATAAAACTAAGCCCAATGAATCACTACCATGTTAAAACAAACAAACAAACAAAAACAACAACAACAAAAAACAAACAGAAATTGGCTGGCCACAGTGTTTCACGCCTGTAATCCTAGCACTTTGGAAGACCGAGGTGGGTGGACTGCCTGAGCTCAGGAGTTCAAAACTAGCCTGGGCAACATGGTGAAACCCCATCTCTACTAAAATACAAAAAATTAGTAAGGCATGGTGGTGCATGCCTATAGTCCCAGCTACTCAAGAAGCTGAGGTGGGAGAATTATTTGAACCCAGGAGGCAGAGGTTGCAGTGAGCCAAGATGGCAACACTGTACTCCAAGCTGGGTGACAGAATGAAACTGTCTCAAAAAAATTAAAAAAAAATTAAAAAAATTAAAATAAAAATAAATAGAAATCATCCCAAAAACTTAGAAGTCACACGTGTCTCTATATTCTTCCCAGAAGTAACCAAAGTCCAGAATTTGAATCGTTCTCATGATTTTCACGATGGTTTTATTGTCTTTATGCTGTTCCTAAACAATATATTGCTTAATTATGTGAAATTTAAGTTTTATACATTAATCATTATGTATTATTCTGACTTGCATTTTTCACTAAACACTATGTTCTTGAGATTCATCTGTGTTGATGTATTAGCCACGGTTTATTTCACATTGCCCCTATTGTTTGGTATTCTATTGTTTGAATATACCTCATTCTATCACTTTCCAACTGGTGGACATTTGCATATTATTTTTACTTTTCTGTGATTACAACGTTCTTCCATACTTTCTTCTATATGCCTCCTGGTATGCACAGACAATATTTCTAGGAATCTAGGATATATATAGTGGAACTGAGAGGTCACATAATATGTGGCATGTTCAGGTTTACTAAGCAGACTGATGTATACTCCTACCAGCAGCGGATGAGAATTACCATTGTTTAACATCTTCAGCAATACTCAGTACATCGGATTTTTAAAATGTTAACAATTTGATGTGTAAAATGGTCTCCACTGCAGTTTACTTTTTTTAGACAGAGTCTCACTTTGTCACCCAGGCTGGAGTGCAGTGGTGTAATCTCAACTCACTGTAGCCTCTGCCTCCCGGGTTCAAGTGATTCACTTGCTTCAGCCTCCCAAGTAGCTGGGATTACAGGCATGTGCCAACACACCCAGCTAATTTTTGTACTTTTAGTAGAGATAAGGTTTCACTACGTTGGCCAGGTTGGTATTGAACTCCTGACCTTGAGTGATCCACCTACCTCGGCCTCCCAAAGTGCTGGGATTACAGGCATGGGCCACTGTGCCCAGCCATTTTTTTTTTTTCTTGAGACAGAGTCTGGATCTGTTGCTCAGGCTGGAGTGCAGTGGTGTGATCTTGGCTCACTGCAAACTCTGCCTGCCTCAGCCTCCCAAATAGCTGGCATTATAGGCACATGCCACCATGCCCACTAATTTTTGTCTTTTTAGTAGAGACAAGGTTTCGCCATGTTGGCCAGGCTGGTCTGGAACTCCTGACCTCAAGTAATTTGCCCTTCAGGGCCTCCCAAAGTGCTGTAATTATAGGCATGAGCCACCACAGCTAGCCTACTATAGTTTTAAATATGCATGAGACTGGCCATATTTTGAGATATCTGTGGCCTCTGTGGTGGGCTAAATTGTGTCTCCTAAAAAGACAAATTGAAGTTTTAATTCCTAGGATATGTCAATGTGTCATTATTTGGAAATTGGGTGTTTGTAGATGTAATTAGTTAAGATAAGGGCACAGTGGATCAGGGAAGGCCCGAAATCCAATGATTGGCATCCTTATAAGAAGGTCACGTGAGACACAGACATACAGTGAGAATAATGACATGTGAAGGTAGACAAAGAGACTGGAGTGATTTGTCTAGAACACCAGGACTGCTGGTGGTTACCAGCAGCAACAAGGAGCACAGAGCAGATTGTCCCTGCAAACCTTGAGAAGGAACCAGCCTGCTGCCACCTTGGTTCTTCTTCTAGCCTCCAGAACTATGAGAGAATAAATTTATGTTGCCATAAGCCATCTAGTGTGTGGTAATTTGATATGGCAGCTACAGGTTCCATCTTCACTAATAAATCCTTTCTGATGAAGATTTTTCACCTTGTAAATGACTGAACACAGAATAATGGGTAGACGGCAGTTTTATGAAATGACTATTTTTTGCCATAAAGAAATGAGAATTTTTTTTTAAAAGGATAGAATTCAGTACTAAGTTCTCATTGCAGGTAATCTCACAAAAGGCAAAAGTAACATCTTCTGTTCTAGTACAGTAAGACTCTAACCACTGCTAGAATTGCTAACAAATCTGTTGCCAGGAGTAGCTTGTGTCTCCCACATTTACCATTTAAAAATCAAAAACTGGGTAGCATGAGGCAAACTGCCAGATAAAAGAATTTCTTTCTCATCCTAGTAGAATAAATCCAGATTAACTCTGTGGTACTCAGGATGTCTGGTTTAGCACAATGTAATGTAACATTTTAACAGGCTATCTATTCATGGTCACTAATTCAATCCTTTCAAGGCGTTTTGCTAGAAAACAACAAGGAGGATTAAAGTTGTTACTGGGTGGAAGAAAAATTATGAAACATTTCTTATATTGTCAACCTCAGCTATAGATAAAGAGAAATGAAGATTTCTTCTTCATGAAAAAACAAATGTGAATATTTTAAAATTCATCTCATTGGGTGCAGTGGCTCATGCCTGTAATCCCAGCATTTTGGGATGCTGAGGCGGACAGATCACCTGAGGTCAGGAATTTGAGACCAGCCTCACCAACATGGAGAAACCCCATTTCTACTAAAAATACAAAATTGGCTGGGTGTGGTAGTGCACGCCTGTAATACCAGCTACTCAGGAGGCTGAGGAAGCAGAATTGATTGAACCAGGGAGGTGGAGGTTCAATCTACCTCCCTGGTTCAATATTTAAAAAATCTACTGACAAGCTTTTATAGACTTTAAAAAATTTACTTAAAAAGGAAGATTAGATTGGGTGTGGTAGCATGTACTTGCAATCCCAACTACTCAGAAGGCTAAGGCAAGAGTATTGCTTGAGGCCAGGAGTTCAGGTCCAGCCTGGGCAACATAATGAGACCCTCTCTCTTAAATTTTTTTTTTTTTGAGACGGAGGTCTCGCTCTTTTGCCCAGGCTGGAGTGCAGTGCTGTGATCTCGGCTCACTGCAACCTTTGCCTCCCGGATTCAAGCGATTCTCTTGCCTCAGCCTCCTGAGTAGCTGGGATTACAGGTGTCCACCATCATGCATGGCTAATTTTTGTATTTTTAGTAGAGACGAGGTTTCACTGTGTTGGCCAGGCTGGTCTCAAACTCCCGACCTCGTGATCCACCCGCCTTGGCCTCCCAAAGAGCTGGGATTACAGACGTGAGCCACCGCACTGGCGAAAAAAAATTTTTTTTTAAATAAAGAGAGTAAGCTGGCAATACTTCAGAGCTGGCAAGCTATAGCCCATGGGCCAAAACCAGTCTGCTGCCTGTTGGTATCTATAAAGTTTTACTGGAACATGGTCACATCCATTAAGTTTACATATTGTCTATGGCTGTTTTCAAGCTACAACTGTAAAGCTAAGTGGCTGTGGCAGAGACCAGCTTTGAAAGCCTGAAGTAATTACTATCTGACCCTTTATAGAAAGAAGTGTCTGATCCATGATCTAGAGTGTCTCAAACTCCTATGATTGTAAATACTATCACAAAGACAGAAAACCCTGAAGTCTCATTTGAGAAAGAAGTTCTAAAGCAGTCATTATTCTGACCTGAGAACCTTGGGTGAAAATGCATATATTAATATGCATTATAATTTTTTATTTCTTCAAGGACCACCTGTGCCACCATCTAGACACTCCGTATCTACCTAACACAAAGCATGTGTATTCTACTGTAGAAGAATTAGCCTCAACAGCTTTTATACTTACAGATGTTCTTCAAGCTTCTTTTTTAGAAGGACTGACTAAAAATGAAAAACAAAACTAGTTTATTACCTCACATTTTAGCTAAAATAGTATTTTTTAAGTTAAAAGTATAATAGTCATTAATTTTTTGAGCAAGCTCTCAGTAATTTGTTTGGTCAAAGAGCTCAAAACACACAATGTACCCCAGTTTAAATCTCTTTATAAAGGAAGAGAGCAGCCCCTAAGCGATGACAATCAGTATAAAATACCCACAAGCCTGGATACATAAATTCTCTACTTACAGTCAGGCAAATGAATAAAATAGGAATTAAAAAGCAACTTAATTATAGACCTAATATTCCTGGATATGGCAGGCAGACAGGACCATAGTAATAATAAACTTCCCTTAAAACACTTATCTGCTATACTGTTTTTCTTGAGTCATAATAAAGTATTGGGTCCATTTCTACAAATATATCTGACTTAATTAGTGACCTACGAAAATACACATGTTACAAATAATTTTTGCAACGATGGGAATGTGTAGAATGGCAAATGCACAGCCTTTAATATGTCGGAGAATGCAGCTTTCACCAGGTAAAAAAAAAAAAGTCTCCTGAAAAGCAGGAGATCAAAACTGACCTAAAAATAAACAACATTCTCTATAAGACCACTAAATTTCATAATTAAACACTTATCGAGTACATACTATTAATAAATTTTATGAAATATTTCATATTGAGATAAATGGTTATATAATTAATTCAGCCAAAATCCAACTAACATAGGCTTATAAAACAAATTGTCCAATAAATCAACACCAGCGATGAGGGAAAAGGAACCCTCACACTAAGTTCTTTTGATAATGATTACCATAATTTTTTATTCATTTCCATTCTAACACAGTTCTGTAATACTTCAAATTCACTTCTTTCCTCAATATGTTAACTATAGTTACATCAGTAGATCCACATGTCCTCTATCACTGCTCCTCAAATATACAAAAATATAACCCTATTAACTTTATTTATTTTATTAAAAATTTAAAATATAATAAAGATGGGGTCTCACTTTGTTGCCTAGGCGGGTCTCAAACTTGTGGGCTTCAGTGATCCTCCCACCTTGACCTCCCAAAGTCCTGGGATTACCGGCGTGAGCCACTGCGCCCGGCCAACTCTATTAACTTTCAATTACTGCTCATTTCTTCTTTAGCACAGGGCAAAAGGTAAATACTTTTTAGAAACTTCAGTTCTGTACTTAAGTTTTCATTAGACTCTAGCGGAACTTTAACTCTAAGATGATATATAATAAAATAGTTAAATGGGTGGTTAATAAGCCAAACAATGCTCTAAATCATTTAATAAACACTGTTATATGTAAATCTCACAGCCTGTGTAGTAATAGCCCATCTTACAGTTGAGGAAGGGCAGGCTGGAGAACATTTAGTTGCTTTCAAGTGGCAGATCCAAAACCAGGTATGCCAGACCCCAGAGCCCATGCATGGCCTTCACTTCCAGGCTTCCAATGTTACAGTGCCTCTCCAAACTAAAAACTGTTTCTACCAAAGCATGGGGCAGCAGGAGGGTAGACTGCATCCAGATAATTTATACAAACGAATAAATTATAACGGGATGGAACACGAATGAGATGGGGAATAAAACCAAGAGCAGACTTCTCTTTGACTGACTCTTTAACATTCTGATATCCTTTGAATATCTTAATTGTAAAGGCCCTAAACTTATAAGGCAAATAATCCAGTATTCATTTTGCACAAAACTACCTTAATTAAAATTTTCCGTACCATCAACTATGATGGCAGTCTAAATCCAAAACTGCTCACTATATAAAAATGAAAAGGAAGCCATACTTACAATAGCCTTGAGCAGAAACCATGCCAAGAGACAGAGAGGACAAATTAGTATGAAGCAAACACAGCAGCCGAGAGAAGGAACAATTTAGCAATTCATGAACTAAAAGGTATGCACTTTTCTTCCCCTGAGATGGAGTTTCACTCTTGTCGCCCAGGCTGGAGTGCAATTGCAAGATCTTGGCTCACTGCAACCTCCAACTCCGGGTTCAAGCGATTCTCCTGCCTCAGCCTCCTGAGTAGCTGGGATTACAGGCACCCGCCACCATACCCAAATTTTTTGTATTTTTCTTAGAGACAGGGTTTCGCCGTGTTGGGCACGCTGGTCTCAAACCCCTGACCTCAGGTGATCTGTCCATCTCGGCCTCCCAGAGTGCTGGGATTACAGGTGTAAGCCACAGCGCCCATCCAAGATTCACACTTTTTAAAAAGAAATGTACATTTTTCTTTTTTCTACAGTCTCCTCATCCTGTCTTGTTCTCTGAAGTTTTATATATTGTGGCTAGCTCAAATTATCCATACAGCTGGATATAACAATGTTTTTCTGCTTCCATGCTAAAAACAAATGACATTAAAAAAATAATAAAAATGTTCAACCCCTTCTACTCTGACTTAAGATCTCATGAAAAAACTGTGCTTTTGATAACAGAAGCTGGAAGAAATTATGTTTTCTTCTCCAGAGGGGACTACTTCCTTCGGCAGGTTGCTTTATGTGTTGCACATTCCCAAGATGCAACACTCTAGGTTACAGGAAGAGAAAAGTTAAGACAAAAACATAAAAAAAAATTGCTGGGCAAGAACCACGTATCCTGTATTGCACTGTTTATTTTTCTAAGCCATTTGGAGGCACACTTTCAGCTATCTGAATCTTTTCTACATGTAGAAAAGAGTTCAGAGCAAAGTTCTGCTTAGTTTACTGCAAGACATCTGGACAGTCATATAAATGGACTAATTTATGTAAATATTACTTGACAGGGTTGGCATCTCACTTCTGAAATACATTCTGTTAAAGTAATGGCCCACAGAATAGTTAATTAGATTGGATAACCATAGTGATACCTAATCAAGCTATGCCAAATTATCTTTTGAAGAAAAATGCTTTTATTTATGTGTTTTTATTTATGTTTTAATGTAAGAGAACCATGCACAATGGCCATCATTGTAACACTGAAGTGTAAGGTGATTCTAATATTTTGCCATTTTTATTTCCTGTGTACCACATGCCCTTCCTCCCCTCCCATAACAAATCAATAAAAGTCTCCTATGAATTTAAGAGACCAGAATGGATTTCACATTTATCTCAGTTTAAAGGACCTAGTGATTTCACTGAATTAAAAAATGTTCACCACTTTAGGTCATCTGTAAGATACTTAGACTTAATATTTTAATACACTAATGGTAATTTGGTTTCACCTCTTCGTGATTTAGCATTTTGGATAAAAACATGTTTTAAATTTTAATAAAGGCATAAGGAAGCTTAAATGTTGGTGACAATTTTAGGAATCAGAAATCAATCTGGGAATCTAAGAGAAGGTATGCCAACTTACAAAAGGATGAGCTAACATTACACATGTTAGAAAGAAGGGAATGCTGCCAATATACAAGAGATGATGTCTGGAGAAACTCATTAAACAAGGCCATGGCTGAGCTTTTTGTATCTAATATTCTCAAGTTTTAAGTAACATATTTAACTTCTTTTCCTTGGTTCTTTCTGTTTTTATACCCTCTTATGTTAATAAAGCTGAACGGAATTGGTTACATCTATAATTTGGAAGTTAATCCTCCACAAAATGACTCTATCAATGGAAACAAACATTTATGCTCAAATGCCAAAGTTAGCAAATTACATTGGTAACAGGAAAAAAACAAAACAGCTGGTTGAAGCAAAGACTGATCACCAAAATTTAGTTTTTTCTCCTCTTTACACTATTTTTGAACACTCGAAGTCTTAGTTCTGTTGTTTACTATTCATTAAATATACAGGATTTGCAAAATTTGACTTACTTAAACTTTTGTCAGAGACTGATGACTGTGCTACCCGAGCACTGTGATAGAAGGTTAACATGCAGGTGTGAAGAAAGGCAGTCCTTGGCTAATATATTTACCCTATTCTAATCAGAGTGTGCAGAGCTATGACAGAGACACAGTGTGCTGGGGGATGTAAAAAAAAAAAAAAGGGCCAGTGTTGGGGAAGCGAAGGAGTAAGAGGGATTCAGAAATATAGAGATAATGCAATTCTAGGGACAGCATTATTTTCTTAAATCACTTTTACATTAAAAATTTCTACTTGAACATTTCAAATTTCCCCTAGCAATTTTTTTTGACCAAAGGTGGAAAAACACTTCATCTTTGAATACTGAGTTGAGGACATTTAAAATATAAAGCCTCAATTAATTCAGTTGGTAACTATAAATAAACTTCTAATTCGCAGCAGAGTGAATCTGAAGAAACAATAAAGTAGTATCTGGTCCTTTTTATAAGAAATGTTAGTATAAAAGAAAACACTGTTTCTTTTCTATAATCAATACAATACTAAATTATTTTGATAGAAAATATCAAATAAAAAATAAAAGTTATTTCTCAACACTGTGAAACTGATGGACTATGATTGGTGCATATTAAAACTTACATCTTCTGCTTTCGAGCCTTGATCCTGTAAAGATTTTTGCAATTCTTCAACTTGTGACTGTACTTCCAAAAGTCTTTGATTCACCAGCCTAGAAATGAAATGTACATTAATTTTCCAAGTGGTGACTTATGTATGCCTTTTTTCCTTAGGTTGTCATATTAGTTAGAAAGTGTAATTAGCAAAATAAAGTCTCCTGTTACAGCAGTTGTAGTACAGTAGTGGCCTAACGTGATGAGTAGCAGCTTATTTTTCTGATTTTTTTTTGGTACTGCCTGAAATTTCAAATGACTTCCAACACAATGTTTGGATAGGCACATATTTTAGAACCAATGTACTTAGGCATATTTATTTCTCTGAAGTTTACTTCAATACATGTTTATGAAGACTATGTGTCAAAGATTGTGCTCAGCACTAGTATTAAAAGATCTCTGTACCCAGGCAGGGCATGGTGGCTCATGCCTCTAATCCCAGCACTTTGGGAGGCCAAGGTGGACAGACAGTCTGAGCTCAGGAGTTTGAGACCAGCCCGGGCAACATGATGAAACCCCATCTCTACCAAAAATACAAAAATTAACCAGGCATGGTGGTGAGCACCTGTAAGTCCCAGCTGCTTGTGGCGCTGAGGCGGAAGGATTGCTTGAGCCCAGGAGGTTGAGGCTGAAGTGAGCTGTGTTCATCCCACTGCACTCCAGTCTTGGCAACAGAGTGAGACCCTGACTCACCCAAAAAAAAAAAAAAAAAAAAATCCCTGAACTCACGGAATTAAAGTCTCAGGGGGAGGCAAAAGTGTAAAAAATAAAATACAATCAGATAAAAACTTCAAAGTAGTACAAAGGTGCCTACAAAAATAATAGTTGGTCAAAGAAACAATAACTGTCTGGAGGATTTAAAATACGCTGAACTTGAAATGAGACTAGAACAATAAATAAAACACCTGTCGGTTAAGGGCAGAAAGGAGATTCAAAACAGAGGTCAGTATGTCCAAAGTATGCAGAAAAATGAGAGGATGCAGTAAATTTAGGAATGGTATGGAGGCAAGTATGTTACGAGAGGAAGAATGGCTGGAGAGAAGGAGATCAATACAACCCTGTATAGAATGCCAAGTGTTTGCTGGGATTATCCTGTAACCAGTAAGCCTCAAGTCAGGCTCAAACTGGAATAACTCAGACAACCTTCAACAATGGTGATTTCACAGCTTGACTTTTGTTTCTTTTTTTTTTTGAGTTAGAGTGTCAATCTGTCACCCAGGCTGTAGTGCAATGGCGTTATCTCGGCTCACTGCAATCTCTGCCTCCTGTGCTCAAGCGATTCTTGTGCCTCAGCCTCCTGAGTAGCTGGGATTACAGATGCATACCACCATGCCTGGCTAATTTTTGTATTTTTACTAGAGACAGGGTTTCACTATGTTGGTCACGCTGGTCTCAAACTCCTGATCTCAGGTGATCCACCTGCCTCGGCCTCCCAAAGTGCTGGGATTACATGTGTGAGCCACTGTCCCTGGCCCACAACTTGACTTTCATAAATTCTCTAGGTCATGATGCCACATTCAAGAGACCAACTTGCTTCCGAGGTCTCGGGTGATATTGAAGGACTGAAAGAAGGGGAAAACACGGTCAGACAGATCATACAGGTATTATGTCAGACAGATTACTTTAGTTTTAAAATGGAAGATATTATTAAAAAGGTTCAAGAGCAGGCATGAAGATGAGAGGAAGCTATTATTACTAAATATGCCTGAAATAGAAAGGCACAGTGGAGGAACTATCTTGAGAAAAGGCAAAAGAATACAAGGATTTTGATATTCACTGAGGAAGGGAAGACAGGAGGAACAGGATGAGAAAGAAACACAAGGATCTCATTTTATATTTGTTGAAAATGAAATGCCTAGAAATCTGTCAAACAGCCAGATACCTCAATCTAAAGCACAAAGACAGAGCCGAACATACAGATTTGGGAGCCATTTGGAGTTAACTGAGGCCACAAGCAAAGACGTTATTGTCTAGGAAGAGTATGAAAAATAGTGTAAAAGACTAACAAAGATGGCCCATGGAGGATCAACCAAGGGGTAGAAACAGGAACCTCGTCCTGAAGAATATCAGACAATGAGAGAGAATATAAGAGAAGAGCATTATTGAAAAAAAAAAATGTGAAGAAAGATGAACTGAGTAACAACACTGAATATAGTAGAAAGATGAGAAAAAATAACATCTTGAGTGCTGCTACTAGGCTGGCCATTGAAGAGATGACCAGTTATCTTAGTAAGAAATAATTTTTTCTTTTTTTTTTTAGAAAGAGAAAAAGAATAATAAGAAAAAGAATAAAGAAGAGGAAGAAAGAGAAAGAGGAAGAGGGAGAGAGAATGGGGGTATTGCTTTGTTGCCCGGGCTAGAATGCAGTCTAAATATGGGTATGCCTATAATTGTCCTTAATAATGGAGACATGAAAGAAAATGAGGGAAGAGAGTAACAAACAAGGAGCCAACCAACATTTCGTTTAAACTTCTAAGTTGATATGATGTGGTACTGGTAAGAGTGTATATTTTGTGTAAAGTGGAGAGTTCTATAAATGTTAATTACGTTTACTTGTTCCAGATCTGAGTTCAAGTCCTGGATATCGTTGTTAATTTTCTGTCTCATTGATCTGTCTAATATCAATGTTGAAGTCTCCCACTATTATTGTGTGGGAGTCTAAGTCTCTTTATAAGTCTTGTATGTCTGGGTATTCCTGTATTGGGTGCGTATATATTTAGGACCTTTAACTCTTCTTGTTGTTGCATTGATTCTTTTATCATTATATAATGTCCTTCTTTGCTTCTTTTGATCTTTGTTGCTTTAAATACTATTTTATCAGAGGCAAAAATTGTAACTTCTGCTTTTTATTTATTTATTTTTGCTCTCTGGTTGGTTGGTAAGTCTCTCTCCATCCCCTGTTTGAGTCTTTGTGTATCCTTGAATGTGAGATGGGTCTGGATGCAGCATACAGTTTTAGTTTTTTGTCCAAATTGCCTGTCTGTCTTTGAATTGGGGAATTTAGTCAATTTAAATTCAGAATTAATAATGATATATGTGAGTTTAATACTGCCATTTAATATTAGCTGGCTATTTTGCCCATTAGTTGATGTAAATTCTTCATTATATTGATGTTCTTTACTTTTTGGTATTTTTTAGAAAGGCTGATACTGTTTGTTCCTTTCTTTCTTTTTTTTTTTTTTTTTTTTTTTTTTTGAGATGGAGTTTTGCTCGTTACCCAGGCTGGAGTGCAATGGCGCGATCTCGGCTCACTGCAACCTCCGCCTCCTGGGTTCAGGCAATTCTCCTGCCTCAGCCTCCTGAGTAGCTGGGATTACAGGCACGCGCCACCATGCCCAGATGATTTTTTGTATTTTTAGTAGAGACGGGGTTTCACCATATTGACCAGGATGGTCTCGATCTCTTGACCTCGTGATCCACCCGCCTCGGCCTCCCAAAGTGCTGGGATTACAGGCTTGAGCCACCGTGCCCGGCCCTGTTTGTTCCTTTCTATGTGTAGTGGTTCTTTCAGAAGCTCTTGTAAAGCAGGCCTGGTGGTGATGAATTCTCTGAGTGCTTGCTTGTTCACAAAAAACTTTATTTTTCCTTCACTTATGAAGCTTAGTTTGGCTGGATGTGAAATTCTTGGTTGAAAGTTCTTTTCTTTAAGGATGTTGAATATTGGTCCCCACTCTCTTCTGGCTTGTAGCGTTTCTGCTGAGAGATCTGCTGTAAGTCTGATAGGCTTCCCTTTGTGGGTAACCTGACCTTTCTCTCTGGCTGCCCTTAGTATTTTCTCCTTCATTTCAACCCTGGTGAATCTGACGATTATGTGCCTTGGAGTTGCTCTTCTTGAGGAATATCTTTGTGGTGTTCTCTGTATTACCTGGAGTTGAATATTACCCTGCCTTACTAAGTTGGGAAAATTTTCCTGAATAATATCCTGGAGCATATTTTCCAGCTTGGATTCATTCTCTTCGTCACATTCATGTACACCTATCAAGCGTAGATTAGGTCTTTTCACATAGTCCCATATTTCTTGGAGACTTTGCTCATTCCTTTTTATCCTTTTTTCTCTAATCTTGTCTTCTAGTTTTTTATTTCATTGAGTTGGTCTTCGACCTCTGATATCCTTTCTTCTGCTTGATCAATTCGGCTGTTAAAACTTGTGCATACTTCACGTAGTTCTCGTATTGTGTTTTTCAGCTCCATCAATTCACTTATTTTCCTCTCTAAATTTTGTATTGTTGTTGACATTTCGTCAAACCTTTTTTCAAAGTTCTTAGTTTCTTTAGATTGTGTTAGAACAAGTTCTTTTAATTCACAGAAGTTTCTTATTATCCACGTTTTGAAGCCTGCTTCTGTAATTGGAACCCACTCGTTCTCCATCAAGCCTTGTTTCGTTGCTGATGAGGAACTGGGATCCCCTGCTGAGGAAGAGGCGTTTTGATCTTGGGTATTCTCAGCCTTTTTTGACTGTTTTCTTCCCTTCATTGTAGATTTATCCATCTGTGGTCTTTATAATTACCGTCTTTGTAATTGGGTTTCTGAGTGGACGTCCAACTTACTGATTCTCAGCGCCGAAATCTGAGCAACCCACTGCACCGACTAAATCAGCGGCGTTAAGATTGATGGTGCTTTTCTGACTCTGCACCAAGAACTGACGCTCTGAGGCGCCAGCAAAACCGCCTCGCCGGTCACAAGAGTCGCGCTGGCGACCCGTGGGGCTCCTCTGCTGGGAATCTCCTGGTGCGTGAGCAACAAGAATTCATGTGAAGGTGTGGCGTCCTCTCCTTCTTTGCGTTTTCACTGGGAGCTACAATCCCGAGCTGCTAGTGATCAGCCATCTTGGATCTCTCTCCCCCAGTAAGAAATAATTTTGTGAAATGATAGTAGTAGAAGCCAGACTGCTCCAAATTAAAAACAAAACAAGGCAATGACTGTTTGGAATTCAAACAGCCAAAATGTTTAATAAGAATTTTTTTTTTTTTTTTGGAGACGGAGTTTCGCTCTTGTTACCCGGGCTGGAGTGCAATGGCGTGATCTCGGCTCACCGCAACCTCCGCCTCCTGGGTTCAGG